CTTGACGGAAGGGGTTCTGACTTCTTTGTGCCCTGCACCCTTGTCCTCACTCACACCCCTGCGCAGGGGGAGGGACTCTCCAGCCCGGTGGCTGCTGGTGTCCAGGACGCATCTGCTCCGGGTTCTGGTTGGCGTCACAGTCACCGAGGAGCGCGACACCGCCCACCCCTCTCCCCACCTTCCTCCCGGCGGCTGGTTTCTCCGCACCCTCACACGCCTGGATTGCCACGCACTTCACCTGCTGTTGGTGTCTGTCCCAACGCCGGACACTTCTCTCAACCCGCTGCTACTCCCCGACATCTGCGCTACTTCTCCCTCCCACCGTGAGCGCGTGGTCCCCCGGGGGGCCAGCCCTGCCTGCTCTCGGGCCCACTCCCCGCTTCTTCCTGAAGTGGACCCACCTATCCCCGCTCCATGTTCTAGCTCTGCTCTCTGTCTACTGCTCTTCGCCTTTGGCTTTTCAAAAATTTTAATTTTATTCACTAATTTTGAAAAACAATTACATCCAGCCAAATGGCACAGCCACTTTAGAAAAACTGTTTGGCAATTTATTATGAAATTAAACATACAATTACAATCCGACCCAGCAATCCTACTCCTGGGTGTTCACCTACGACAACAGAAAACGTCTTCACACAGAAACCTGCCCCACAGGTTCACTGCGGCTCTCCTCAGACCAGGAACTGTCAGAAACGGGGAATGAGGCCTTCGCTGGTGCCCGGATGGAGAAGCGGGGGCCCTCCACACAATGGAATACTCCTCAGCCCTAAAAGGGGTGAGCTACTCACACACAACAGTGTGGGTGGATCTGAAATGCATTTTGCCAAGTGAAAGAAGACAGATTAACAAGGGACACCGGTCTGACTTATTTCTATGCCATTTTGGAAAAGGTGAAGTTATCAGGGAAAGGACAGATCAGTGAATGCCATTGAGAATCCCTGTGAAATTGTAATAGACAAGCCTCTTTCATTAAAAAAAATCTCACCGAAGGCTCTTGGGGCGTCACCCTTCCCTGGACACACCGCCAGGGTTACTCTGACTCTCACAGGACATTTTACCAAACGATTGCACCCAGAGAAGGTTGTGTGACAAGCCCGTGCTTTCACTACCTGCCCTTGGATTCGCTTCTCAGCAGCGGCAGCGGCTCTCACAGCTGGCAGGTCTCTGTCCTCCTCCTGGGCCTTGTCCCAGCCTCAGAGTTGGGGCTCCCTCCCTGTTCAGTGAAGGGGTCTCCCCGCCGAAGCAGTGCAGAGGCAGGGGCTGGCCGGGTCCCCCAGCCGTGGCCCTGGCCTCCGACAGTCACCGCGGATTAGGGAGACCCGAGGCCCTTTCTGGGAAGTAGCTTTGGAACAGGCGGCTGGACAAGGCGGCGCCATCCCACGTTTTCAGAAAAATTCAGCCTCACCTGCTCTGCACTGAGGACGTCTCCACACCAAGACCTTCCCTGTTTATCCTGCCTCCAGAGGAACAAGACAAAAAACGGCCTAACCGCAAACACTAACACAGCCCTCTCACGTCCTTAATTCTACCCCCCCCCCACCCCCCCGACCCCGTCAGTGCAGCTCCCACAGGGACGGGCTCTTTTGTTGAATCCTGAAGGAGAAGCTCCTGCTGCCTGGACCGGGTTCGAGTCAGGTTTGTGGCGTGTTGCCTGTATCTTCCGTGATCGATTGGTGCGGGACAGGCGGCAGGAACATCATGATTATCCCGGGATGGACCGCGCTGGCGGCCTCAGGACCCTGAATTTGGAGAGCATCCCGACCAAGCAAAGGACGCTGCTGTCGCCAGCAGGAGACGCTGGACAGGACTCAACTCCGTCACTTAGGGTCCAGCAACTGCCCTACATCAGGGCTTCCCGGCTCTGCCCAGTGGTTAGCGGGGTCTGCTGAAATGCCAAGTGTCCTTCTCTCTGTTCCTGAGAGAGCTTGGTAGGCTCTTCTTTCTTGTGGGGCATGGGCTGCTACAGGCAAATCGGTGGGATGGGCCTAATCACGAAGCAGAGCTGGTGGGATGTGAGGGACCCACCTCTTCCCCAGCAGCCTGTCTCTGAGGCTCAGAGTTCGCTGTTGAATAGAAGCAGGTGCCCTAGGAAATGGAGAAGTTGAGACCTAATTTAAAAAACGAGGTGGGAGGGAAGCTGGGTTGGTCCCAACGCTGTCCCAGGTTGTGCGCCAAATGCCCGGTGCCATGTCTGTGGCACACACAGCGCTCCGCTCCGCAGAGCCGGGCTGCCATTTCTCTTACTGGTAATTGCTGGGGCGTCGCTAAGCGGATTTTTGCAGACCATCTACTTGGTGTGAGGACACGGTGCCAGGTGTGAGGCGTACGGGTGTGAATCGCCATCCTCCCTGCCCTCAGTGGCTCATGCACTAAAGCACTTAGATGACTAGAACTCAACAGCTACAGAGCTCTGGGGTGTGAGGACCGAATGGGAGCGCGGGAGGGAGCCGGGGCTGCGCTCTGCGGGACGGACACTGCGGAGAGATGTTGGAAAGGACATTCAGAGTTTTGCCAGGTGAAGAACGAGGGGCAGATGAGCATGTGGAATAGGCAAGGCGGCGTGAAAAGAAACAATTTCAGGAAGAAAAGGATTCGTTTCGTGTGTTCAGAGCACGGGCTTCGTGGAGGGTGCGGAGGAAGTGGAATCAGAAAACCATCCTGAAGGTGGCTCCCCCAGCTGGGTGTTCCTGCTCCGGAAGACACAGGGGCGCGTGCAGCCCCCAAGCAGGAGCACAGCAAATGTGCTGTTCGGAGAGATGCCGTCACCGAGTCCGCAAACTGCAGCCTGCAGGCCACGCTCAGTCCCAGGCTTTTTATTTTATGGTCCATGAGGTAAGGATGTCTTTTGCATTTTTAAATGCTCAGAAATCAATCAAAAGAAGAAGATCCGATGGCACATGGAAAGTTATGTTTCAGTAGTAAAAGGGTCTAGTGCAGTGGTTCTCAACCTTCTGGCCCTTTACATACAGTTCCTCATGTTGTGACCCAACCATGAAATTATTTTCGTTGCTACTTCATAACTGTAATGTTGCTACTGTTATGAATCGTAATGTAAATATCTGATATGCAGGATGGTCTTAAGCGACCCCTGTGAGAGGGTCGTTGGACCGCCAAAGGGGTCGCAACCCACAGGTTAAGAACCGCTGGTCTAGTGGAACCCAGCCACGCCCATCTCTTTGTGCCTGGTGTTGGAGAACAGAGACCTTGTAACATATGCACTACGTGCTCTTCCGGGAAAGGCTGCTGGCCCCGGTGAGAGGCGCGGATTAAACAGAGAGGAAGGGGCAGGGAAGCCAGGAGAAGGTCTAGGGAAAGACGCTGCGCACTTCTCACACCTGGCAATGCACAGACTCCTTTACAAAACTTCTCAGGAGTCCTCCTTCCCTTACATTATTTGCATTCAAATGTAGATTAAATATTCACAGACATTGTGGCAAAAATTCCTTATTCTTTTAGCGCTTGTATAATTGTAAAACCAAAACAACCTTTAAAAGGGGATACAAACGAAACTAAGAGACCAGTCCATTTTCCATGAGCACCTCAATTTCACGTGGGAGATGCTGCCTTTCTGTGGCCACGGGACTGCTGCTCAGAGGCCCAAGGCTGGTCCCAGGTTCGTCTGAATGTGAGTGCAGGTGTCTACCACCGTGTCCGGGTGATGATTTAATTCTCACACAACCTTCTCTGCGTGCAAACACTTTAGAAAACTTCATTCATATAGAATAGGGTTGGCAAATCTTTCTGTAAAGAGTCAGATAATAAAAATTTTAGGGTTTGCAGGTCCCTGCTGCACCTCCTCAATTCTGCCATTATTGCTTGAAAGCACTCACAGACAATACATAAATGAATGGGCATGCATGTGTTCCAATAAAACTTTATTGACAAAACAAACAATGGGCCAGAATTGGCCTGTGGGCTCTAGTTGTAGATCATGGACGTCCTCCAGGAAAGTGGGAAATCGGTGGATTTGGGGCCTGTTGTGGACACATCTGACAGCCAGGAGACCGCTGTGCAATGAGAAGGAATGTCTGCTACAAGTAACTCTAAAATGGATTTGCAAACACAGGCATTAGGCTGGATGTGGTCCAGGAGCCATAGCCTGTGGGCCCTGGATATGAAACAGGATCAAGTAATGATTACCTCCAAACCTGCTCACAGCGGGAATGGTCACATCGCCACTCTCCTCGGCCCAGCACGGGGTTTCCACCCATCACCACTTCCCTTTAAGGGGCTCAGCGATGCCTGTGGGCATTCAGAGGGCTGGCCATCATGGGTTTTGCACATTAGCCACCAGAGACCAGTGCCCACTGGTGTGGTAGTCTGAGCATCATGAGGTCAGAGGCCTCAAGCTCTAAAATGCAGCAAGAACGCAGACTTGGGGACATCTTTCTCATCTGGTACCCAACTTTTTATCCACACTGCAAAGCGTTCGGGACCAGAGGTTGGATTCTCTTTATGAAGCCCTTCTGTATAGAGAATCACATCCTGCCTTTATCTCGCGGCCTGATATACCAGAGAATTGACTTTATTATTGTTGGGCTTTAATTTTAGACAAAGAATACATTTTAAAAGAAAGAAGAGCCAGGAAATACTATGATTAGGATGAGAAATGGTCTCCTTTAAAAGTGTTGCAAGAAAAGAAAACTTTGCCATCCTTTTCCCTCACCTGGTTACTCTCTCTCCTGAAGATCATCAATTACGGGGAAAGTGGCAGTAAAATCCGATTCTGGCTTGTGTGTGTCTAAACTTTCACCTGCTGAGTGGATGGGTGGCTATTTACCAACCAGGGACGGTGAGTTCTCCAGGGCTGGTTGTGCTTTTCTGGATATCCCTGGACACACTGCACCCCATTACTCACACCCATGTAACCCATGCCCGACTCTGTGCCAGGCTCTGTGCCAGGCTCTGGTAAAGGTGAGCTAGAATGGAGGGTGGGAGAGGCCTTGTCCCGCAGCAGACGGCACTGGTGTGGGCCACCAAAAACTGTTAACTTTTATCCGTAAAACATGGAACGCTTCGCGAATTTGCATGTCGTCCCTGCAGGGCCATGCTCGTCTTCTCTGTCCCGTTCGATTCCAGTACATGTGCGGCCGAAGCGAGCACAGCATGTTTAACTTTAATTAAGTGCTTACTGTCTGCCCAGCGCTGTGCTAAGTGCTCTACATACAATTTCTCTGGCAATGCTAATGACAAAACCACTTCACAGGTATTATCTCATCATTACGAATAAGGAAATGGAAACTCATTGAGGTTAAATAATGCCCAAGGACCGTCAGTATAAATGGCACAGGCAGGCTTTGCTTACCCTCGTCCTGAGCTTCTAACCTGCTGCATGTGGATGATGCTCAGCCAGACAGACAGACCTTCCATGATGTTCAGACAGACAGACTATTCCATGATGTTCAGCCAGACAGACAATTCTGCGATTCTGCGATGCTCAGACAGACATTCCATGATGCTCAGCCAGATAGACAGACCATTCCACGATGTTCAGCCAGCCAGCCAGCCAGCCAGACCATTCCACGGTGCTCAGACAGACAGACAGACCAGTCCACGGTGCTCAGACAGACAGACCATCTCACGATGCTCAGACCATCCCACGATGCTCAGACAGACAGACCATTCCACGATGCTCAGACTGACAGACAGACCATTCCACTATGCTCAGCCAGACAGACAGATCATTCCACGCTGCTCAGACAGACAGACAGACCAGTCCATGATGCTCAGACAGACAGACCATCCCACGATGCTCAAACAGACAGACCATCCCACGATGCTCAGACAGACAGACCATCCCATGATGCTCAGACAGACAGACCATCCCACGATGCTCAGACAGACAGACAGACCATCCCATGATGCTCAGATAGACAAACAGACCATCCCACGTTGCTCAGACAGACAGACAGACCATCCCATGATGCTCAGATAGACAGACAGACCATCCCATGATGCTCAGACAGACGGACAGACCATCCCATGATGCGCAGATAGACAGACAGACCATCCCACAATGCTCAGATAGACAGACAGACCATCCCATGATGCTCAGATAGACAGACAGACCATCCCATGATGCTCAGATAGACAGACAGACCATTCCATGATGCTCAGACAGACCATTCCACAATGCTCAGACAGACAGACAGACCACCCCATGATGCTCAGATAGACAGACAGACCATCCCACGATGCTCAGACAGACAGACAGACCATCCCATGATGCTCAGATAGACAGACAGACCATCCCATGATGCTCAGATAGACAGACAGACCATCCCATGATGCTCAGATAGACAGACAGACCATTCCATGATGCTCAGACAGACAGACCATTCCATGATGCTCAGACAGACAGACAGACAGACCATCCCATGTTGCTCAGACAGACCATTCCATGATGCTCAGACACTATATTCCCTTACGCTGCCCACGGACGAGCTGAAGCGGAGGTGTGGGGAGCATAGGCTTAGAGTCCACGGACTTGGTAGCGTGGAGGGCTAGTTTTAGAGGGTTGTGGAAGGAATTGATTAGGGCACATGCCTCAGGGGTGGGACACAAGCAAAACTGAGCTTCTGAGGCTGATGAATCGCTTTTGCTAAAAATCCCACTTTAGATTGCTCTGGACTGTCTTAGAGGGAAAAGTAAAGGAAGAATCAACCAGACTTTCCTCCCAGAGACCCCATGCCAGCTCCCTCATCTCTGCTGAGTCTTCTCTCAAACATCTCTGACATGAGAGCCACTCCACCATCTCATTAAACCTGCAACCAGCCCCCATCCATCACTCCGACCTCCACCTGCCCGCCTTTCGCCATGGAACTGTGTTCACCTCCCAGCACACTGCCCTGCACCTGTTGTGTCTACTGCTTATCCTCATTGTTCTTTTCTGAATCCTCTCTTCAGAAGATCAAGTCAACGAGGAGAGAGAGCTGTGTCTGTGATGTTCACGAACGTATTCCACGTTCCTGAGGAGTGCCTCGTATACAGTAGGTGCTCAATAAATGCTTGTTACGTTAATAGGTGAGTGAATGAATGCTTGAAAAACAACTGTGGAGGAAAGGTTGAGCTGCATGTCCTGGAGGCCCACACAGCCCTAGCATTCTGGTCTCACACCCTTCCCTTTGGGATTCGGGTATTGAAAGCCAAGTGCTCACCTGTGCGGCTACCTGACGAGGGTCTCCCTGGGGCTGTGTTTTGAACCTGGACTAAGCCTCCATGCTCAGTCCACTGCCACCTCCGGCCTGCTGCACTCATCTTCACTCCAGCCCTCTGCACTCCTGACACGGGCGGTTACAGAAGAGAATTTAGTGCATTCGGCAAATATTCCCCACGTCCCAGTGGCAGGAGAACAAACCCTGTGATCTGGGTTGGAAATATTTTTTAAAAATTCATGGGAGTGTCTTCAAGTTTGAATTAACATAATTATAGAATTTACAGGCACCCAGAGTGCTTTCTGTAAGACTCCTATAACAGATGTGTCAAATGTCTAGTTTTGAAAGGACTTCATAATTCAGTTACAATTTCCTCTGGGTTAAATATTGGAGTCTGAGAGTTGGGGAGGGGAGAGAGTAATGCATTTATTTCCTGATGAGCTGTCTGAATGCGGAGGAATGCCTCCTGAGTTTCTTTTTCTCATTGTGCTGAGTCATCCCCTTACGAGGGGAGGACCACTCACCTTCTCTACAGGTTGACACTAACCTTCGAACTCTCCAGAGCACGTGTGGGCTTCTGCCAGGCCTGGGCTCTGTTTGAGCCCGTGTGGAAGGCATGGAGGCACCGACCTTTACTCAGCGCTGATCGGATCTGACGTCCGAGAACAAATCTGTCCTTTGCTTGTGTACTCATTCCTTTATTATGCACATCCCTCCAGCTTCCAAAGCCAAAATATCTGTGGTTCATTCTCCATTATTCCTGACCTACCATCTTCCCTGGCTGTCATTTCTCACCACATCCCATCAATTTACCTCAAAATGCTTCGGAGTCACCCACTCCTCACCATGGTTGCCTTGACTATGGCCACCGACCACACTGCTCTCCTGCCGAGGCCCAAAGAACTGCATGAGGCCTGTAATCAGGGACCACGTCACCGCGGTTTGCCTGGGACTGTCCGGGTTTTAACACGGAACGTCCACATCCAAGGAGCCCTCCCCACTCAGCCCCAGCCACACTGGGCCTGTCGGTCACCCTGCCTCTAAGTCTCTGTAACTCTCTGCCTCCTTGGCCCGCTCCAGCCCCCCGACCTCTGTCCAGCCCCTAGACCTTGGCCCTGTGCCTTCCCGCCTGCAGACCCCACAGGCTGGTTTTCTCTCGGGGTTGCCTTTCGGATCCACACCTAGCCCAAGGTATCTGGGACCTGGCTCTAACCTCATTGTCCTCTTCACTTTTCCTTCTTGGCCCTCACTTCGGAGTTGTGTTTTATCTGAGTAATCACTTGTTTAAAGAAGCACGTCCTCATTCAAAATTCAGTTCCTTGAAGGTCAAGGACACATCTCTTCGTACGGCCGTTGTGTCCTGGCTCAGTCCGGACCTGGCAAGTATTAAGCATCTATAAATACATCTTCAATAAATTTACTTTCTGTGTGTTTTCCTTTTCCCCTTCATTAAACTTGCAGTACCTTTGCGCGGCCCCCTCCACCCCCCAGTCGCTTGCCCTTTCTTTTGAAGGAACAACTCTAGGACTTGTTAGCTAATTCTGCTGTTTCTATGATTTTTAAAGCAATGGTTTCTGATTTTATCAATATTGTTTCTTTACCTAATTTGGGGTATAGTCTTTGCTTCCCTTTGTGGGCTCTCAGGCGCCTCGCTGCCACTCTCTGCCTCCGCCCCATTAGCTGATGCTGACGGAGGCCTCTTTTCCCGAGGGGCTGTCTGAATGCGTCACTGCTCAGCGTTTTGCCTGTGCGCCAGGCCCGCGGTCCCCAATGTAACAAACCTTTCATGGGTGCCCGCCCGCCTCGCTACTGAACTGCGATTCTTTAGGACCCGGCGCGGCTGTATGGTGTCGGTCATGCCTTCCTGCTCCCAGCCCCAGTGACTTCATCCGTTTCTTTGTGCCACGGCCGCGCCCTGAGCAGCACCCATCATGGCACCGGGCCGCAGCAATTCCCTGTCCGTGCGCACCTGCCCCACCCACTCAGCTCCACGCGGATACTGTGGGACTCTGTGTCCGCTGGGGGAGGTGTAGTTCCGCAGGAAGGGGGCAAATACGTAATTAGCACAGCTCCCCTCCCTCTTAAGTCAGGAGAGCCTCTAAGACAGGGAAAGAAGCATTGGGTCATGCACCATGTTTTCAACCTCACTAGATAAGCCAAGGAAATTTCATTATTTGAGGCAAGAAGAATAAAAAGAGAGAGGCAAATCCAGATATAAATCTGATGTGGATAAGAGAGATTTTGAGGAAACTCACACTGGATGGACTTGGTACCCACACACGGGTTTGGTGGTAGGCATGGAATATGGACCTTGATCAGAGTGGAATAGGTTTGAAATCCTTAAAAACATGTTATGAAGTCAACCTGTGTAGGATCAAGGACATTGGAGCCATCAAAAATGTTAGGGCCCAGGAGATGAAGAGAAAATAACTCATGATTTTACTCAGCGAGGCCTGACATTCTAGACATGGGAGGGGGCATCGGGGCACAGCTGAGGGTGTGGGCAGGAGGCGGCCAGCACCTCAGGGATGCTCATGAGAACTGTGAGGTGGCTGACCATTCGGGATCAAGCAAGACCAGAGAGGTGAGAGGAGGAAGCTCCTGTGCTGGACAGACAACAGGCTCCGGGGAAACGGATGAAGAGGTGGGAGGAGAAGTTACTGTGGCCAGAGGGTTAAGGGAGCTAGGCAGTACCATGTCTTCATGTTATTTGATGGAAATGAAATAAAAACTAGGAGATATTAAAAGACTAAAACTGGCTTTACCTATCCCTTCACTATCCATTAAACCCAATGCCAAGTTCTACTCCGGGGTCATGACCTGCACTGCTGCTGCCTCTGGCTGCGGGCCAGGCTGCCTGTGGCCTTTTGGTGGCGGAGCAGGTTTCAGAGCCACTGCCCCAGCTCCTGCTGAGTCTTTGTTGGGGACAGCAGGAGAGGGGCCCCTCCT